TGAAGGTGTATTTGTGTGTTTTGGGTGTGAGTGTATGTATTGTGTGTGTTTGAATGGGCCTATATATGTGTCAGTAGGTGTGTACGTTTGAGTGTGTAGTGTTTGAGCAGGCTACTTCCTCCCTTGACTTCTCAGCAAAACAAAAGCCTCCCCCACAAAGATGATGAGAATTTTTCTGGCCTGAGATATGGAGGAAACGAAAGCAGCCATTCAATGCAGATGGAGATGTTGGTGTTTTGAGAAATTGAAAAGCAGACATGCCTTGTCCAATAAAACAGAAGGAAGACTCCAGGTCAGACCCCTCGTGTGGAGTCACCTCGATCATGACAGACCTTTGCTGGGCTGCGGGGAGGTCATGGCCTTTCCATCAGGTGGTGCTGGGCCAGTGGGTGGGTCTGCGGGACACAGTGAACGTCTTACCTGCCTCACACCATTTACAATAATCAATGTCAGATGGGCGACGGATCAAAACATGAAAAATAAACCAATTACTTTTTCTTTTGCGAAAAGTGGGGAACTATCTTACTAGTTTGTGGGAGACTCATTTTCCTGCGATGTGGACACAAGAACATGAACTTAGGGGGGACATGTACACAGTGGAATCCACTAAGATGAAGAAATTCTGCTCCTTATAGACACCAGTGAGAGAGTGAAGACGATAGATATTTGCGATGGCAAAATGAGACCACGGACAGGCATTCAGATCATTAGGAAACATGTACAAGTTGTTATGTGGCAGCAGAGAGCAATAGAAAAGCAAGCAAAACTTAACAAGCAACTGATATTGACATGCAAATGTGCATTGACATTATTTAAGGTGATTAGCTGGCCTTGGCTGATGTTTCTCAGTGGTTAGAGCATCAGCCTGACCACCGAAGGGTCACAGGTTTGCTTCCAGGTCAAGGGCATGTGCCTTGGTTGCAGGTTTGACCATGGCCCTCATGTGGGATGCAACCTATTGACATGTCTCTCACATCGATGTTTCTCTCTCGCTCTCTCCTTCCCTATCTCCCTTCCATCGTCTCTAAAAATCTTTGGAAATAATATCCTCAGGTGAGGAGTAACAAAACAAATTTTTAAATAAAAGGTGCTGAGCTTTAAAAGTCCTTGAAGAAATAAATATGCATCAAACCACAGGGTTGGTACCAATACTTACACTGAATAATGAACATGAAAACGGCAGGAAACACAAAGGGTGGGCAGGGATGGGAACCCACCAGGACCCTTGAACCAGGCAAAGTCGAGGAAATGCTGAGGCCACTGGGAATCTGCTCAGTAGAGTCTTTGATAAATGAGCTCCCTCAAGAGCCGTGGTCGGGTGTCCCATTGGGCTGTTCAGAGACAGACTC